GTTTTTTTTTTGTTTTTTTTTTTCTCTAAATGCCCTAAGGGGTGGTTTGGCTGGCTGGAGTGTTGTGGGGATCGAACTACAGCAACCTGAGGCTGACAGCTTTGTGGAAGCAGCCACTTAAACAACTGAGCTAAGGCCAGGCCCCCATAATAATTTTTTTCAAAATACAGAATTTTAAAATAAAGCTCTGAAGAATATTCATAATGAGGAGACAGAGTAGAGGAGGTATCTTCTATATGTCCATAAATCTGGGCTCCCAGGGACCCTCTTGTTGGATCTGATTAATTTGTCAGGACGGTTCACAGCAAAGACCATTTAAATGCTAGATTATAATATTGATACAGTTAATGAAGGCTACAGATGAACCAGATGGAGAAAGGTGTGGGGAAAGAGGGCCTCCACTCCCTCGCCAGGCACACCTCTCTCCAGGGCCTGCACACAGTCACAGGAGTTCTTCCAGCCCTGTCCTTTGGGGTTTGTGTGGAGAGTCCTTGTGTAGGCCCGACTGATTACAGTACTGGCTGTGCGTGATCAATTTAACATTTCCACCTCCCCTTCCACCCTCCTGGTTCTCCTGGTGCCCAGGCTGCATTCTGAGACTGGTCAGGAGCCTTCCAGGCTCAAGGGCTTCCACTGTGGGAGGTCACAGCACAGCATGGGCCCATATAACCCAGAGAGAAGTGCTATGTGGACTTAAGGAAGTCTGGCCCGAGGTAGGCAGTGCCTTTCTCTTATTTATTTATTTATTTATTTATTTTCACTATGTAGCCCAGGCTGGCCTTGAATTGAAGGCAATCTTCCTGCCTCGGCCTCCCAAATGCTGGGATTCCAGGTGTGCACCACCACACCTGGGCATTCATCTGTTGATCCACGATATAACTACTATGAACTGTGATGCTACAGCTGTAGGCATGCATGTATTACTGTAATCTGATGTCTTTAACTCTTTCAGGAAGATACCTAGAAGAGTAGCTGGTTCAACTGGAGGTTTTAGTTTTTTAAGGACTCTTCACACTGATTTCCCTAATGGTTTTAGTAGTTTATACTCCCACCAACAATGTGGAAGGGTTACTTTTCCCCCAAACCTCTAGCACGTGTTATTTTTTTCTTTAAATTTTTTTAATCTTTTGTTTATGTATTTATGTGATGCAGGTCTTGCTACACAGCTTGGACTTGTAGTGATCCTCCTGTCTCAGCCTCCACCATGCTGGAATTACAAGCATGCACCTCCATGGCCAGTTTTGGTGGCCAGCACCGCATGCCCAGGTACCAGGGCTGGCTTGACATGCAGTACCAGGGATCAAACCCAGGTCCTTGCGCTTGCCAGGCAGTTGCTTAGACCACTGAGCTATCTGTCTCTCCAACCCCCTTGAGTTTTTGATGTTGGCCATTCTTTCAGGGACAAGATAGAATCTCAATGTTGTTTTAATTTTCATTTCTTTAATAACTGTATTGAGCATTTATTCATGTGTTTATTGGCCATTTGTAATTCTGTGAAGTGTCTGTTCATTTCACTTTTTAATTTTTTGACTAGGTTTTATTTTTACTTGTTCAGTATACTTTTAATTCTCTGTAACACAGTATTATCTAAGCAAAAATTTGACAAAACCAAACATTTTAGAATAGTAGAAAATGTCTGAATAAACATGATTTTCCTCAATCATCTCAAGTAACAAAATAATTAAAAAATTCTACCCATTTAATTACATACATAAAGTACATAAGAACACAGAATTCCTCATCTGAAACATTATTAAATACAAAGCATTTAAGTATAGGCTTTCAAATATCCAACTGGAAATCACACTGGTCTTCAGTGCTAGTGAAGTACTTGTAAAATTCTATTTTGTGCTTAGAGTATTTTTCTTTTTTCTTTTTTTTTTTTTTCATGATTGGTCACTGTTTTTTTTTTTATGTCAAGTTTTTTTTTAATTTTTTAATTTTATTTTTTTTACAACTCATACAGAATTTTACTTAACAAATATGAATTTCACAGTATTTGTTGTAATACATGGTATTGTCTTACAACCAGCTATTCATATTACCAGATATTGGAAGAAGAAAAAACTGGAGCAATGTATAAGAAATTAAGAAAAGAAAAATTACAAACAATTGAAAAAAAGGAGACGAAGCTACTTAGAGCATTGACTGTTTCTTTCTATTTCCATTTTTTTTCTTTTTAAAAAATTTTTATTTATTTATTTATTTTTTTGTCCTGTCAGAGGTGAATATGCTATTGGCATCTAAATACTATAAGTGTTTGAATTCAACTAAACATCTAATACTGTCTAATAGTCTATAATATTAGTGGGTTATCCTCAGAAGTTATTGACTTGAGCCTTTTACATCTCATTGTATTAATATGGATTTACTTTATATATCTCATTTTTATACTTTTCTACTGGATGGTTAAGACCAAGATATAGCAAGACCTATATACTCAGAATTGTAACTTTTGTATCTGATAAGGTCAGCTAAGTACTCTCAGGATTTATCCTGTAGCCCTGTACCACCTTTTGTACATTCTTTTGTCAGTGTCTGACCTGAGGGTGAGTCACGGCCATTGCTTCACCAATTTGCTCTCTGTGAAAGCTTGAGAAAAAAAAAAATTTTTTTTAACATTTATTTATTTTGTGTGTGTGTGTGTGTGTGTGTGGCCAGCTCAGCCCACCAGGGGGGCACAGCTGGCTGGCATGTGGTCCTGGGGGATCGAACCGTGGTCCCTGTGCTTTGCCAAGCTTGTTCCAAGTAGGTGCTTTAGACCACTGAGCCATCTCTCCAGCCCCCTTTTTTTTTTATTTTTTATTTATTTATTTTGTGTGTGTGTGGCCAGCTCAGCCCACCAGGGGGCGGGGCTGGCTGGCATGTGGTGCTGGGGGATTGAACCGTGGTCCCTGTGTTTTGCTTAAGCTTAGCTTGTTCTAAGTGGGTGCTTTAGACCACTGAGCCATCTCACCAGCCCGAGAAAATGTTTTTTCTCTCCATGTGATTTTCCCCAGGCTCACTTTAAATCCTCAAACACATTTTGTTTAGAGTATTTTTCTAAGGCACCACAAATTACACATCCAAACTCTTTATTGGTAGAATATTTTAAGAGTCTAAAGGAGAAGCCTTTAAAGAAACACTTTTGTGCTTTACGGTAGTGCCATTCTAATGGCTGAGGCTGAGACAGGAGGGTCACTACAAGTCTAATGGAGTCACACAAAGAGAACCTTAAAAAGGGGAAGACATCACAGAAATCACCTATTCCTCAATGGCTGTGTGATTCCTTCTGGGTATTTATGGATGTTTCCCTTCTGTGGCTAGTAAGAGTCCTCTGTCGCACCTACCCTTTGCTGCCAGGAAAAAGTGATGTGGTCCACACTACCAATTGCCACCCAGTATTAGCAATCAAGAACAATAAAATATGAAATCTATCTTTTTAAAAAAAAATTAACAATGTTATGATTTGAAAACATCAAGCATCCACTAACTGCAAATTCAATGAAGAACTTTTTGCATATGGTGACAAAGGTACAACAAAAATGTATAGAAGATGGTTTTTCCTGAGCAGAATGCAAATGTAATTTTTTAATTAAATTAAGCTTTAAATTTCTAAAATATGAAATACCAAAGCTTTTCTCTATTAAATAAAAATCAGGAATGTCCACTTCCACATTAAACACACACACACACACACACACACACACACACACAGAAAAATTCAAAACAAGGTTCAATAACCAGACTGTAGTATCTAAACTGATTGGCCAAACTGAAAATTTCAATAACTCAGTTTGATGAATCTTAGTAAATTTCAGAGTAAAACAACAAAAACTACTGTTTACTAACAGTAAATATTAATTGTCACACTGTTCTTAGCATCCAATTTGAAAAATGTAAGTCGTGGCAAAAAAAAAAAAAAAGGGGGGCAAAGGAAATCATACAACTGAGAAAAGGAATAAAATAGGCAGTCAACCTTATAGGAGTCAAGAGAACACCAAGGACTTCTTAACCCAGTAGTGCACCCTGTATATAATGTAAGAAGAAAACTGTAATTCAAGCAAGACATAATCTAAAAAATGAAATTTTAGACTATAACTCTAAAAAACCAAAGTTATCACTGAAATACACATTTCTTCAGACAAGGGGCAAAATTCCAATTTATGGGAAATATGGGGAGTTTTCACAGTAAAACAAAAAAAAAATCAAATGAGAATTTGTTTCTCTGAGTAATCTTCTTAAATATCCCCAATTAATGTAAATCTTAGGAAATACGATTTTTCAGCTCAGTCTTTAAAGAGGTTATTAATAAATACACACAAATCTTATTGCTTGGCACCAAATTTCCTAAAATTAAGCAACTGTTTAAACCTCAGTATTCTCAGATTGCATATTTCAAACTTTTATAGCTGGCTGTATTTTCTAAATAAAAATATTCAATGACAATCTACACTGAAATCTGCAATATACAAATCATAGTTCACTTTAAAGCAAAAGAAATGATCAATTTTGTTTTATCAGAATCACAATATTAAGAGATACTTATAAAAATTATCTAGGACTTAACTATAGGCAATGCTGGACCCACAGGGCTTTGCCCTGTGGCACTGTGTGGAAAGTCTTTGTTCCTTCTTTACTTTCTGCTGTTTCTTCTGAAACATCTTCTTCAGCAGCCTCTTGGTCCTCCATCATTTTTTTCTTTTTTCTTTTTTCTTTTTTTTTTTTTTTTTTGGTGGAACCGGGGATTGAACTCAGGCCCTTGTGCTTGCCAAGCAAGCGCTTATTCTACTGAGCTATCTCCCTGGCCCCTATCATTTTTTTCAAAGGTTGAAAAAGTTCTGGGAATGGATTTTTTGAAGGCTACTACCGTGGCTCGCACCTTTTTGAAGGACAAAGGCAAGCTGCCACATATATCAAAGTCCTAATAACAGTCCTGAAGGCAAAGTTGCTAAAGCAAAAATTGTGTATGATGCCCAAACTGGTAATCTGAGGCCTTGAATAAAATATCCATGGCAAGTCTATAAAGCACATAGGAAGCAAAAGAGTGCTGACACTGCTCAGCAGAAAGGCACTTGGAACAATCTATGATGAAACAGGTTCAGTATACTTCCATTCTTTTGCACTTACAAAGTTTAGGAAGTCATTCTTAGTGCTTAGGCCCTGTTAGCGCCCAATTTTACCATCTTTACAGTGATAAATCGCAGCAAGAGCAGTTAGGATAAACCATCCCCCCAGTCCTGTCTGCTCTGTGATACCCACTTTAGCGAACATTTATCTCAAGATCCTCACCCCATTCAGCCAAACCTCCCCACTCTGCTTGAAGATTTTGACAAGCAGGACACCACAAAGCATAAATTTTAGAAATATTCACAGGCAGAGAAAAGGAAGAGTGGATCCAGCTGCAGCAGAACCCTGAGGAGTTAGAGCACAGGAGGGCTGGGGGCGCATTCAGGGTCAGCAGGGCCTGCTCAGCACAGTGGGAAGAGGGCAGAAGCCCTGGGACCTGGCTCATGCCACAGCGCATAGCCCCTACACTCACCTTGACTGGGTCTTTATTGTGGGGAGTCTTTTTATTTTTTGAGACAAGGTCTGGCTATGTAGTTCAGGCTGACCTTGAACTCACTGTGTAGCCCAGCCTGGCCTTGACTTGTGATGATCCTCCTGCCTCAGCCTCCTGAGTGCTGGGATTACAGGGGTGTGCCACAGTGCCCACCTGGGGGGGGTGTAATTATTTTAAGCTCTTTTTTTGGTCTACATATTAGTCTTCTCCTTTGCTTCTCCTCTTTCTTCTCTTCCTGTTCCTCCCCCTCTTCATTCTTCTTCTATCTTTTATAAATAGTAGGCTTTACTTGGATCATGACTCTGGGGTCTAGGAGCTGTGAGAGAGGAGCTAGCATCTGGCGAGGCCTTGCTGTACCCTAACACGATGGAGGTGCTCATCTTTCTTTTTGGTTTGTGATAAATAGGCATTTAAATTTATGGAGAACACTATTACTTTTCTAGTGCTGGTGCCAATTAATAAAGAAATTTTGGGCTGGTGAGATGGCTCAGTGGTCTAAAGCACCTACTTAGAACAAGCTTAGCAAAGCACAGAGACC